GTGTGTGTGTGTGTGTGTGTGTGTGTGTGTGTGTTGTGTTTCCCCAGCCAAATGCTGGAGTCCTGGTAGGTGGGCACACACACTGCCCACACCATTGTCATCATTTTGGCCCCTAGATCATGCCACTTTGCTGCTTCATCTGAAGCACTTCCCGATGGATATGCGCACGCTGGCTTGTCAGCTGGCGTTCCTCCAGAGCAACGGTAGGGATGGGGCGGGGTGTGTGGGGGTCTCCAGTACCTCCTGCCTGTCCCGTCCGGCTGGATCTCATCTCCCTCTGCCCCCCAATGCCTTCAGGCACAGAGTGCTGCCCCGTGAACTGGGTGGACTATGAAGGCAGCTGCTACTGGTTCTCTCGCTCAGGGAAGCCCTGGCCTGAGGCTGAGAAGTACTGCCAGCTGGAGGACGCCCACCTGGTGGTCATCAACTCCAGAGAGGAACAGGTGAAACCGTACCTTTCCCAAAAGCAGGAGGAAACCTTGGGAATGCAAACTCTGGGAGGCTGGGTCAGGCTTGTTTTGTTATTTTTTCTAACCTGAGGAAGAATCCAGAAGCAGAAGTCTGGCCCAGATCTGGGAGATCCATGATGGAATCTAAGCCATTGATTCTAAGAGGTGGGAGATTACAGCCCGGAGCTGGGGCAAAGGACAGGAGCCAGGTGACCGGGTGATGAGGAGCACGTCAGGAGACAGAATATGTGGCAGGATGAACTAAAGGGCCGGGACTTGGGTGGAGAACACAGTGGAGCCACTGAGAGTCCCTGCTTGCTGTGTGCTGGCCTTGGCATGTGATGGTCCCTTGGATGAATGGAACAGAGTGGGCGGGATTCCCAGAGACTCACCGCTGTGGGTTACTGGGTTCCTCCAAAGCACCCCAGGTCTCCCTTCCTGATGCTATCACCAGACCACAACCCCAAATGGCAAGTTCACAGGGAAGAACCAACCAATTAGAACAGGTGGGGCATTTTTGGGAAAAGTAAATGGTAATATTTACTGAGTCCTTACTATGGGCCAGGCACTTTTATATATCTACTTTAATCCTCACAACCCTATGGGGTAGGCATTCTTGTTATCCCCACTTTGAGGGGCATAGAGATGAGGGAACTAAAGAGCAGAGAGGTTAAGTAACTTGCCACACATTCTGCATGGTAGAATGATTCCAAACATACCTTGCTTTACCAATCAGGTTGAAATTGCCAACATTCTATCAGTATTGGCCTATAAAATATCAATTTCATGTGGGTCAACCTAAGATTTCAGCAGTCTGTGATTTGGTCCACAAAATTTCATGTCGGCTATAACTTCATGTTGGATGGGTTTGTACCTTCATCATTAAAAAAAAAAAATTGGGGGGCTTCCCTGGTGGCACAGTGGTTGAGAGTCTGCCTGCCGATGCAGGGGACACGGGTTCGTGCCCCGGTCTGGGAGGATCCCACATGCCATGGAGCGGCTGGGCCCGTGAGCCATGGCCGCTGAGCCTGCGCGTCCGGAGCCTGTGCTCCGCAACAGGAGAGGCCACAACAGAGAGAGGCCCGCGTACCGCAAAAAAAAAAAAAAAAATTATTTATTTATTTGGTTGGCTGCACCAGGTCTTAGTTGTGGCTCTCGGGCTCCTTAGTTGCAGCAGGCGGGCTTCTAGTTGCGGCATGCATGTGGGATCCCTGACCAGGGATCAAACCCGGGCTCCCGGCATTGGGAGCGCAGAGTCCTATCCACTGTGCCACCAAGGAAGTCCCCACCTTCATCATTTTGAAGTGAATGTCAGTGTCCTGTTTAATGCTTTTTGCCTTGAATTCATCTTCATGTGATATGAATAGACTGGTCCTTGATTTCGCTTGCATTTGCTTCATGTATCTTTGCCCATCCTTTTATTTCCAACCTTTCTAAGTCTCATAGATGAGTCATTCTCAGCCTTCGCAGTATATTGTAATCTCTTGAGGAATTTAAAACATATTGACACCTGGTCTTACACTCAAAGATTCTGATTTAGTTAATTTTGGATTCATCCTGGGCACTGAGATTTTTTAAGGTCTCCCCCCCGACCCCACCCGTGTGATGCTGCTCTACTGTTCAGCTAAGCTTAAGGTATTTCTCCTACAGGTTGTGTATAGTTGTTTTTGGTTTTTAAAAACTGAGTATGGGGCTTCCCTGGTGGCGCAGTGGTTGAGAGTCCGCCTGCTGATGCAGGGGACACGGGTTCATGACCCAGTCCGGGAAGATCCCACATGCCGTGGAGCGGCTAGGCCCATGAGCCATGGCTGCTGGGCCTGCGCGTGTGGAGCCTGTGCTCCGCAACGGGAGAGGCCACAACAGTGAGAGGCCCACGTACAGCAAAAACAAAAAAAAAACAAAAAAAAAACGAAAAAAAAACAACTGAGTATGTTAGAGACTTTTTGCCTTTAAGAGGTGAGTGTTATCTCATTTACATTTCTTTTTCTTTTTCTTTTTTTTTTTTTTTTTTTGCGGTAGGTGGGCCTCTCTCTTTCGTGGCCTCTCCCGTTGCAGAGCACAGGCTCCGGACACGGAGGCTCAACGGCCGTGGCTCACAGGCCTAGCCGCTCCGCAGCATGTGGGATCTTCCCGGACCGGGGCACGAACCCATGTCCCCTGCATCGGCAGGCGGACTCCCAACCACTGTGCCACCAGGGAAGCCCTATTTTTCTTTTTTTAAAAAATTTATTTTATTTATTTATTTTTAGCTGTGTTGGGTCTTCGTTGCTGCGTGCAGGCTTTCTTTAGTTGTGGTGAGCGACGGCTACTCTTCTTTGCGGTGAGCAGGCTTCTCATTGCAGTGGCTTCTCTTGCTGTGGAGCACGGGCTCTAGGTGCGTGGGCTTCAGTAGTTGTGGCACGTGGGCTCAGTAGTTGTGGCTCGTGGGCTCTGAGCTCAGGCTCAATACTTGTGGTGCACAGGCTTAGTTGCTCTGCGGCATGTGGGATCTTCCTGGACCAGGGCTCGAACCCATGTCCCCTGCATTGGCAGGCGGATTCTTAACCACTGCGCCACCAGGGAAGCCCGAAGCCCCTCTTTTCTTTTTTTAACTGAAGTATGATTCACAATATTGGGTTAGTTTGAGATGTATAGCAAAGTGATTCAGTTATATATTTTTTTCAGATTATTTTCCATTTTAGGTTATTATAAGATATTGAATATAGTTCCCTGTGCTATACAGTAAATCCTTATTGCTTATCTATTTTATGGATAGTAGTGTGTATCTGTTAACCCCATACTCCTAATTTATCCCTCCCTGCCTCCCTTTCCCCTTTGGTAACTATAGGTTTGTTTTCTATGTCTTCTGTTTGTGAGTCTATTTCTGTTTTGTATATAGATTCCTTTGTATTATTTTTTATATTCACACATAAGTGATATATAATATTTGTCTTTGACTTAGTATGATAATCTCTAGGTCCATCCATGTTGCTGCAAATGGCATATTTCATTTTTTTTATGGCTGAGTAATATATATATATATATATATATGTATACACATACATACATACATACATACACCACATCTTCTTAAGCCAGTCATTTGTCAGTGGACACTTAGGTCGCTTCCATGTCTTGGCTATTGTAAATAGTGCTGCTATGAACGTTGGGGTGCAGGTATCTTTTCGAATTAGAACTTTTGTCTTTTCCAGATATATACCCACGGGATATACCCACAGGTGGGATTGCTTGATCATATGGTAGCTCTATTTTTAGTTTCTTAAGGAACCTCCATAGTGTTTTCCGTAGTGGCTGCACCAACTTACATTCCCACCAACAGGGTACGAGGGTTCCCTTTTCTCCACACCTTCTCTAGCACTTATTGTTTGTAGACTTTTTGATGATGGCCATTCTGACCAGTGTGAAGTAATACCACATTGTGGTTTTGTTTTGCGTTCCTCTAATAATTAGCCATACTGAGCATCTTTTCATGTGCCTGTTGGCCATCTGTATGTCTTCTTTGGAGAAATGTCTATTTAGGTCTTCTGCCCATTTTTTTTATTGAGTTGTTTGCTTTTTCAATATTGAGCTGTATGAGCTGTTTTTATATTGGGGACATTAACCCCTTGTCAGCTGCATCATTTGCTAATATTTTCTCCCTTTCCATAGACTGTCTTTTTTGTTAAGGGTTTCTTTTGCTGTGCAAAAGCTTTTGTTTGATTAGATCCCATTTATTTTTGCTTTTATTTCTTTTGCCTTGAGAGACTGATCTAAGAAAATATTGCTATAATTTATGTCCAAGAATATTTTGTCTATGTTCTCTTCTAGGAGTTTTATGGTGACATGTCATATATAGGTTTTTTTTTTTTTATAAGTTTATTTATTTATTTATTTATTTTTGACTGCGTTGGGTCTCTGTTGCCGTGCACGGGCTTTCTCTAGCTGCCGCAAGCGGGGGCTACTCTTCGTTGCAGTGCGTGGGCTTCTCATTGCAGTGGCTTCTCTTGTTGCAGAGCATGGGCTCTAGGCACTCCGGATTCAGTAGTTGTGGCTCACGGGCTCCAGAGCACAGGCTCAGTTGATGTGGCGCACGGGCTTAGTTGCTCTGCGGCATGTGGGGTCTTCCCAGACCAGGGCTCAAACCCGTGTCCCCTGCATTGGCAGGAGGATTCTTAACCACTGTACCACCAGGGAAGTCCCAATATATATAGGTTTTTAAACCATTTTGAGTTTATTTTTGTATATGTTGTGGGAGAGTGTTCTAATTTCATTGATTTACATGTAGCTGTCCAGTTTTCCCAGCACCAATTGTTGAAGTGACTGTCTTTTCTGCATTGTATATTCTTGCCTCCTTTGTTGTAGATTAATTGGCCGTAGGTGTGTGGGTTTATCTCTGGGCTGTCTCACTTACATTTATTTTAAAATACGTATCTTTAATCCAGTCTTTTTTTCTTCTGTTTTGTATGCTGCTTTTGTTTTCTGCCATTTGCTATCAGAGATTTATTATTTTTGTTTTCTCCTCTGTGTTATTTTGGACTAGATGTAGCCTGTATTTCATTATACTAGTAATTACTGTCATAACTTTATTTTTTTATTTTATTTATTTATTTATTTTTGTGGTACGCGGGCCTCTCACTGCCGCTGCCTCTCCCATTGTGGAGCACAGGCTCCGGACGCGCAGGCCCAGTGGCCATGGCCCACGGGCCCAGCTGCTCCGCGGCACGCGGGATCTTCCTGGACCGGGGCACGAACCTGCGTCCCCTGCATCAGCAGGTGGACTCTCAACCACTGCGCCACCAGGGAAGCCCTACTGTCATAACTTTAAATGATGGGCTGAAACTTATTGGCTTCAAAAAATAAGAGGTTATATAACTTTCCATATGAAAGATGAGGAAACCAGCACACCTTCACATGCCTCACTCTTTTCTCTTTTTTAAAATTGAGATATCATTGACATTTAACACTGTGTAAGTTTGAGGTGTATAGCATGCTGGTTTGATACATTTACATATTGCAATATGGTTAATACAGTAGTGTTAGCTCTCACCTTTATCATGTCACATAATTATCATTTCTTTTTTTGTTGAGAACAATCAAGAACTAGTCTCTTAGCAACTTTGAGGCTTATAATGCCTTGTTCGTTTCTCTCCCACATTCCTTAAATGTTTGCACGAATAGTTGGAGTCTTTTCTGTCTTTGAATTTCATTAACCTCGTCCAGATATATCTCAGTGTTGCTCATTCTCTCTGTATTTTTACTCTGAGGCCAGGAGAGTCCTTTTAACACATAAAGTTAGGTTTTCTAACATTTTGGAAGATTTTCTTAAGCCCTGTGTTTGAAAATTTTTTCTTGACCATTTGTTCTCTTTTCCTCTGGAGCACATCTTCCAAAATGATCTCCATTGTCTGCCCCTATAGCCATCATCTTATTGCTATTTACTTCTATCTTTCTCTCTTTTCCTCTGTATTCTGGGTTCTTTTCTCAAGCCTATCTTTTGTATTTCAGGCTTGTTTTTTTTGCTGAATTGCTGGGGTTTTTTGTTTTTAATGTACTTCAAAATTTTCTCTTCAATTTCTTCCCTTTACTTTTCATTGTTATCTTTCTTCTTTGATATATTGTTTCATATTTTTATGTCGTTCATCTCCTCTTCAATGTTTTTGAGGATGTAAGTTGTTCTCCAGTATCCTCTTATGTTTTGAAACATGCCTTCTTTACAAAGTATATTTTTCACCTCTCTTTTGATATCACAGTGCTTTTTTCTTCCTCCTCTTCCTTTCCATCCTCTATTTTTGCACAAGTTCCATGATAATACTCCCCTGTGCTACTTCTTTGAATGTGCTGAATTCTTTCTTGCCTGTTATTTACTCGTGAACAGGGCAGATGCATTCTTCTGGACTATCTTCTTCAATCATTTGGCAGTATTTCATTCTTCCCCTCAGTCTTCAACACAGAGGCCTGGATACTGATGATTTGTATTCTTTGTTCAGTTATTCAGCTTCTTGTGATGGTGGGAAGAGGGCACTGGGGCAGGTGGCAGCAGCGAATAGAATATCTTGTCTCCAGTCACTTTCCCTCCAGCGCAGTTGACTCCCTTGATTTTGGGGAGCACCCCTACCAGCCTCTGAGGGCTGTCCCTTCATGCGCAGGATGTCGACCTATTTGCAGGATTCTAGAATTCAAAGGTGCTACTGTATCTGCCTTTAGATGAGGTGACTAACTGCAATCTTAGTTGGGTCTCTAGGACATGAGAGTGGAATTAGGAAATTTTCCTCCAAATGCAGTTGGAGACCTTTCGTATGCTGTCAAAGAGAACTGCTACACGTGCATGTTGGTCACCCATCCTCCTGTTTCCTTCATAAAACAAGGTGATCACACCCTCCCTCTGCTGCCCTCCCAAACCAGGGGACTTAAGTTCCCAGAAAGGGCCATATCTATAAGAGAAAGCTGCTCGGATGTCTGTTGTCCTAGGAGGTGTGCATGAACCCTGGCAAGCTATCTCAAAGACAACTTGTGTCCCAGCCCTTGCCAGCTGGATGGCTGGGCTGCCCCTCGCACATAGGGCATCTTCCTATTTTCATCCAGACTGCTAGACTCCATGTAGCCAAGTCATAACAGGGCTGGCAGTGGGTCCAAGCTTGGAAGCTCTGGGGCCTGGAAAACAACAGAAATGACAGCTATACACAGAAGCAGGAGCAGATAAGTGTACATGAGAGGCGAGTGAAACTGAGATCCTTAATGGGTAACTGGGGCCCATGGGGGCGGCAGGGGCCGGGGTCAGGATCCAAGAGTTTGAGGCTGTGAGCAGAAGACAAGGAGAAGCCTAGAATCTGAGTCTAGCAGCCGTGCGTTAGGAATAAAACGGGAGGCCAGGTCAGGGGGCAGCGGTCATGAACTCAGGCACTGGATTGATGCTCTGGGTTCCACGATTACCGTGAGTTCCTTGACCTCACATGTAAAGTGTGAATCATTAGGGCGCCCAATTTAGAGGGCTTTATGAGATTTAAATAAAATAATCCTTGTAAAGCACTTAGTGCAAGGTTTAGCCCAGTAAATATTCACTAAATGCTAGCTATGGTTGCAGAAGAAAAAGCAAGGAACTAGTGTTGGGAGCTGCTGCTTCAAGGTGGCAGCAGATCAGGCTGGGGAGGGCTGAGGGAACCATAACTGATGCCTGCGTGGAAGTACAAGGGACTAGAAACTTCCCTCCTGCCTGTTTTCCAGAAATTCATTGCACAACACACGAACCCCTTTCAAACCTGGATAGGCCTCACTGACAGTGATGGCTCCTGGAGATGGGTGGATGGTACAGACTATAGGCACAACTATAAGTAAGTGGCTTCTCCTCCTCTCTCCCTGTTAGTTTGGCCTGGGGATGGCCATCTCGTCTCTTCCCCCAGTACACTCCCACTCGTCCCTCAGGGACCAAATTCTCCAGCCATCTTCCCCCCAGACTCCCAGACTCCAAGGCTGCAAGCTGCTGCTCCCTCAACCGCCCAAGGCCATGCGTTTCTGAGGTGGGGATGAGGGTTGCTGGGATGAGGGGGCATCCAGAGCTGAGCTCTGTCCCGCCTTCCTAGGAACTGGGCTGCCACTCAGCCAGATGACTGGCAGGGGCACGAGCTGGGGGGCAGCGAGGACTGTGCTGAGATCCGGGGGGACGGCCGCTGGAACGACGATTTCTGCCAGCAAGTGAAACGCTGGGTGTGTGAGATAAAGCGGAACATCACCATCTAGGTGTCCTGACCTCCAGCAGACCTCTGACCTCCAGCAGACCTCTGACCTGCATCCTGCCTGCCTCCAAGTCCTCCACTGGGCATTTTGAAGAAAGGAAGAAGAGAGTCCTCAGAGGTGTGGGGAGGGGTTGAGGAGAGATAGAAGGGGGTGGTTGAAGAAGCTCAGACCTTGGGGAGACTGAGATCCCACCTCCTTCTGAAAGTCACTGTAATTACTATTATAATTTTTGGCCTCCTCAATGGATTAGGAAAAGGACAGATACTTGAAACTCTGCGTGGTTTGGTTATTTGGAACTGGGAACTGTAGGGTACAAAGAAGAGGGAGGGAGAGGGTCTGGAAGAGAGAAAGCTTAAGTGCTAGATGGCTGTCCTTGACACCTAATCTTGAAGACATGGGTCAGGGAGGGGAGGGAAGAGGATTGAAACAGAGGAAGGCCCCGTGGAAGGCACTGGTGGGGGCGGGGAACTGGTTGGGCTGGGGCTGGAGGGTCTGCCCATACCCTGAGGGCTTCCCTGCAGTTGGGATCCCCTCCAGAAGAGGTTCCAGGGAACACCCCTGCTCCACTGTCAGCCTGGGAACTGTGAACTGGGCTGGCGAAGGTCAGTGACAAAGGTGTGCTAAGAGAAGGAGGATTGGTATGACCCCAGATAGACCTAGACATGTCTCCAGCACATGGTGTCTCCAACAATCTCCACAGTGGGTAAACTGCACCTTCCAAGATCATTCTGAAATTGACCTTAAAAGAGTCTGTAATCAATTAGATTAGTTGGTTTTATTTTTATTACAAAAGTAATATATACTATTAGTTAAAAATGTTTCAAACGCACACACACACACGCACACTGGGAGTCTCCTCCTCTCACCCTTCCCACTTCTCCGCAGAGTTAACAATTTTCATGGATATTGTATTAGTCAAGGGTCTCCAAAGAAACAGAACCAATAGGATGTATATGTACCAATAGGAGATATATTGGCTTATGTGATTATGGAGGCTGACAACTCCTGAGTTCTGCAGGTGAGCTGAAGAGCCCCAAGGTTCCCATCTGAGTCTGAAGCCTCAAGAACCAGGAAGAGCCAATGTTTCCATGTGCCAGTTTGGAGAGGGTCAGGCAGGAAGACCTTTCTCTTACTCATGAGAGGGCCAGCCTTCTTGTTCTCTTCTTGGCTTCAACTGATTGGGTGAGGCCCACCTGCATTAGGGAGGGCAATCTGCTTTCCCAATTCAAATGTTCATCTCATCCAAAACACTCTCACAGACACACTCAGAATAATGTTGGACCAAATATCTGGGCACCCTGTGCCCCAGTCAAGTTGACACATAAAAATGAACCATTACAGGGTTCCTGTCAGGATGTTTCCTGTGTATGTGCATATATGTGATACTACATGTCATTAGTAGCTTGTTTTTTCACTCTCCAGTGTCTCATTGATCCAATCTATGCTTTCCTGAGAGGTTTTACTTCACTGAATTTAGCAGGGGTAGAGAATTCCAAAGTATGGATGTGCCATATATTATTTAATCATTCTCTGTGGTGGGTGAGTAGTTGCTATTTTTGTTTGTTTTCACATATAATGTTTCAAGCAATTTTTGTTTCTAAGCTTGTGCTGGGTCAAGACTTCCCAATTTTCAGCTGCAAATTTTTCTAGGACTTTTCCTTCAAAATATATGCAATTGGCATTAAATTAAAAAATTATGACAGAAATAATACGTACAATTTAAAGTCTTGTAGGGCTGGAAGCAGTTACAAGAACTGTTTCCTTCAGCCACTCCTGCTGCTTAGAGAAACCACTTCTAGTGTTTTAGCTGTTTCCCTTAGTGTTGACATTTATACTTCTAAATAATATACACAAACTGATACCTCTTTATCAGTTGTAGACATTATTTAGTCACTTTTCATCACGTAAGTGGGCACAATTTTCCAATTTAGTCTATACCAATTTTTGCTTAAATCCTAATTCAGAATCTGTGTCAGTTATGGCTGTGTCAATATTGTTAACTGCTGAACCAAGTAGTATAATCTGATTACATTTCCTTTCTTGCACAACTTTTGTTTCTTCTGAAGTTAATAGTTGAAAAATTTGCTTCATATTCTTTGAAACAATTGCAAAGTCTTCCTTAACTGTAAAAAGGCTGACAACATAATTTTCTGCACGTGCAAACTGGTCACATAGCCAGCACTTCAGTTGTGGTTTTTTCCTAGAGCCACCAGGGTGAATCCAAGTTTTATGGGGGCTGAAATGTACACAATTTTGGAGAGGCCTCCTTAGGAAAAAATACAAAATTAAGCATAAAATTGCTGTTAAGTTAGGGAAAAAAAGCTGAAAGCTACCGTAAACATCACAAAATACAGAAAACTGATATAATATTTTTAATAATCTTCCAACACACCTGTGAAATCAATTTTCCCCACACTTTTTGGCTGCATACTTATTGTTTACTTCTGTATGTGACAAAGGTGTTGTAAGGAGACTTTCCACAGAGAGAAGAGAAGGATAATTGAGGGTTTCCTCTAGCATGTTTCTTCTTTACTACTGATGTCAGTGCTTCAGGGAAGCTCATGGCCCACCTTCATGTCACCCCCAAGTGAGTCTACGCAGTGGATGCCAACAGTGCCTGTGAAAGCCATGCCTGGGCAAGTGAGCCAACCCTAAGGATGAATGATGTGACTGCAGAGCACATAGCAGGGTCCCTCTGCACTCAAGCTAAACCTGTATTTCCACCCCAACTTCTTAGTTGGATTAAAAAAAGGCCACCTGACACAGAGGGAAATGTGAAGGAGAAGTCGGAGTTAAAAGTGATGTGGTCATCTTAACTGGTTATAGTCAGTTATTTGTTTTTATAATTGACAAAAACTTCTGATCATGGCCTTGGGTGCCATGTAAGGGGCCCACAATCGGGCCTCGAGCTCAAGCTCCCTTAGGCTTCCTGTTGATCCACTTTTGTACCTTCCCCTCCCCCGTTCTCCCCTCCCCCCCACCTCCCCCTGCCAGTTTTCTTGGGACTTCCCGATAGTCCTGGGAAACCCCTGGACCGCCTCTTTCTTCTGGGCTGGATCCTCTCTTCCCTGGATCTGTGTGTTCTTTCTTGGTTTATCCCCTTGTTTTATTGAAGCATCCCCTCCAGTAGCTTCCTGGAAAAGGAAGGGACTTTTTTGGATAGCTTGATTGATCGTTTGTGGAAATATGGAATTCTAGGTTGAAAATGATGTCCCTTCACCATTTCATATGCCTCACCCCGTGTTTTCCATTTGCTATGTGCTGTGGAGAGAGCTGACCCTATTCTAGGCCTGATCCTTTGGATGGGAACCTTCTCTCTCTTTAGGATGTTCCCTTTAACCCTGAGGTCTGAAAATCACCACTGACGTGCCTTTGGTGCAGGCCTCGCAGTCAGTATACCCGGCTCTCACAGGCTTCTTTCATCTGGGAGAGCGGGAAGGAGACGGTGTAACAGATGTGGTTGGGGCCCAGTGGTTGGGAGCCCAGTGGTTGGTCTTTGGGGCCATCAAGAGGATTCTGGTGCTACTTGCTTGAATTCTGCTGCTGGTGTCCCGCGCTGCGTTCCTCCCTGCCCAGTGTCCCTCGGGTTCATATGGAAAACCTCTGGAGAGGTTTGTCCACATCCTCACCTGCATTTGGTTGCTGTCACTATTTTTTTTTTTCATCTTTAGCGCCATTCGAATAGGTGTGGTGATATATTACGGTGGTTTTAATTTGCATTTCCCTGATGGCTAATGTTGTGCGTCTTTTTGTGTGCTTATTTTCCATCCATATATCCTCTTTGACACAATGTCTCTTTATATCTTTTGCCCATTTTCTAATTGGATTTTCTTTTTCATTTTTTACTGTTGAGTTTTGAGAATTCTTTATATATTCTAGATACTAGCCTTTGGTTGGAGATGTGGTTTGCAAACATTTTCTCCAAATCTGTAGTTTGTCTATCCTTTTAACAAAAACATTTCTAAAAAGACTGTGATAAATAAAATGTTGGCAAGCCCAATTAAGGAACTGAGAAAAGTGACATGACTACTTGAGATAGGAGGTTAAATGACACTTTTCCTGTTTTTATAGAAATTTGGCTGAATTCCCCAAACTGAGAATGATTGTTGGTAAGTGCTTATACATTTAAAGCAGAGAAGAACTGGGGGTTGGGGGAAATGGGGAGATATAGGTCAAAGGGCACAGATTTCCAGTTATAAGATTAACAAGTTTGGGGATCTAAGGTACAGCATGGTGATTATAGCTAACAATACTGTATCGTATACTTGACTGTTGCTAAGAGAGCAGATCTGAGATGTTCTCACCACAAAAAAGAAATGGTAAATATGAGGTGGGTTGGAAGTGGCAGCTGATACTATGGTGATAATCATTTTACAATTTATAAATGTATCCAATCAACACATTGTATACCTTAAACTTACACAGTGTTATGTGTCAATTATATCTCAATAAAGCTGGAAAAGAAGGACTTCCCTGGTGGCGAAGTAGTTAAGAATCTGCCTGCCAATGCAGGGGACACAGATTCGAGCCCTTGTCCAGGTAAATCCCACATGCCGTGGAGCAACTAAGCCCGTGTGCCACAGCTACTGAGCCTATGCTCTAGAGCCTGTGAGCCACAACTACTGAGCCCACATGTCACAACTACTGAAGCCCACACGCCTAGAGCCTGTGCTCTGCAGCAAGAGAAGCCACCGCAATGAGAAGCCCCCGCAATGAGAAGCCCGTGCACCACAACGAAGTAGCCCCCACTCGCTGCAACTAGAGAAAGCCCGCACGCAGCGACAAAGACCCAACACAGCCAAAAATAAAAATAAATAAATAAATAAATTTATTAAAAAACAAACAAACTGGAAAAGAAACCCAGAGAGGTGCTGAACGTGACTAGTCACAACTTAGTAAGAGATGATAAAAAAGAAACCATTCTTCTTCCCAGCCTCTGTAAGTGAAGATTATTTCAAGAGAATTCTTAGATGTAGTGAGAGATTCAACACTTTTTTTCTCTCCATATCAGGGAGAGGAACGCTTCTCCATGCCCCATTGGCCAGATGATGGAGTCCAAAGGGAACCAATGCAGAGACTGGAGTTGTCTTCAAGGGGGTAAGACAGGTCTGTCACTACCAGGCCAGATAGTAGTTAAGCTGCACACTCTATTGGACTGCTATTTTAGAAGGGCAAGAAGAGTTTGCAGGGAGGCTGTGGATGTGTGCTGAGGAGTTTTGGAGTAACCATGGAGAAATAGACTCGTCCTTGACAGAAGTCTGAAGACATAAA